CTGGCGAGGTGGAGCGCCAGGTGGCAACTCAAGCGGCTCGTTAATGCGCCACCGAAGCGGCGCACTTGGCCATGGAGTCGCGTGGAGCCAAGGAGGCTCGCTTGGTGGCTAAACGCGAGGCCCGAGAGAGGGCAACTAGCGAGCGCCAAAGGATTGAAGCGGTTCATCGCGAGTGTTCGGAGAGTTTGCGCCGGGATGAGAAGGAACGTGTGATGCGCATGAGGCGGGTAGATAGCATCATGTCAAGGTGTAACCATCGGCGATCGCTTCCTTACCCGCAGTGTGGCTAACTCGGAGAGCATGAACAACCTGTCCTGCATGATGACCACCACTGCCACCAACGCTGGTGGCGATCAGGCTACGACAGAAGGCGAGCCGAAGCACAGTCGGACTGCCGCCGTTCTCAGTCAAAACGGGTTGTCCAACGATCACCCGAAGTTCACCTCCATTCTCCTACAGCCCCTCATTGGCGGGAGAAGCCGATTTTCCGGTCATCCTGTAGTGTCCACCGCTGCTTCGTCCACCCACGCTGGTGATGTCTCCTCGGGGGCTAGGCTTCCAGGTAGTTCGCAGTAGATCCGCAACCCAACGTTAACACAGAACCTGCATGCCAGGCTAAAATTGTTTCAATTAAAAGGTCTAACTGGTTGGCTGTGCGTGTACGGCGATTGTATTGTTTTTGGTCTTGTAGTGGGCCCCGGTGCGGTTTTGGAAACCGCACCAGAGCCGGCGATTAACACTGCGAAGGCTCGACCGAAATAAGAGTGGAAAATGCAGATGGTGCGCAGCTCAACTAATCTATTGATGCATTGGCAGCAGCGGTGTTTGCGTGTGCAGGATAACAAGTGCGTTTAAATAGCTCCGCCAAGCATCGATCGCTGAACGAACGGCGTTGCGTGAAGTGCATTCACGAAAATCGATTGAATCGTGTTCGCTCACGCCAGCTAACTGTGCTCGCTTGCTGTTCACCTCAACGCTCCATGTTGGTAAAATGAATATACGAAACTTTTCCTTTCAATGGGATTTCCGAAGCGTTGGTTGTAAGTATGGTGTAAGCGATGATTTGAGGCCTTAGAAATGAATGAACACGAGTGATTAAATGAGGGGAATAGTCGTCGCCGGATGGTGAATGAAACACTTGGCGTATTCGTAAGTTGTCGGAAGACATTCGGAACGAATCGCTGTTGGCAATATAATATTTTCTACCTGCCGGGTTGCCTGATAGGCTGATCTTTGGAAAGGTTGTGCATGATGCCGAATCGTAAGATCGTTGACGTCGTTCGATCTGGTTGAGAGCCGAGAATGGATCGGAGAGACTTGCCAAGCAAGCGTCGGATTTCGAGGTGTTGAATCGAGAGACGTGGTCGGAATCAGAAAAAACGAGAGTCAAGTGATGAGGTTGGGAAGATTGGTCGTTGCCGGGATGTGTTAGGAATCGGTGTTCATCGTCATGAATTTAGGCAGCTTCCGGAGATTTGGCGTCGTGCGGCGGTGATTGGGGCCAAAGACGATACATGGTTGAGTTAGGTGAAAGTTGGAGAACAAACTCTGGCTGATAAAGGCAAGCTTATAGGGTGAAAGCTAGGTTGAGCGGTGGGATAGAAAGAGGACCAAGAGTTGGGCAATGTAGAAGCATAGAGGTCACACGTTAAGTTTCGACGGACGGCAGAATTGCTCGAGGGGTGACTTTACTGTGAGACGTGAGACGCCGGATATCCACGCTATGTAAGTCTAACAGTTCACAATCGACTCTCGCCTGGTCTCTCAGCATCTGATTTACTCTATTCCCGATTTTCTATCTTGTCCACCTCGGACAGCAAGCGTGGCTGCAGCACACCGTCGACTGACCTTTGAGTGAAAGAAGAGGTCCGTTGATTCCATTTGACTCGTCTGTCAAAGTGACTCAGGCGCCCTGTGAACCTACTCATCAAGTCATGCATCATATCGTGACTGAAGGTCCGCCGACGACCGCCAAGGCTAGGCGACTTGCCTCTGATAAACTCGTAGCAGCTAGAACAGAATTTGAACATATGTGTCGTCTTGGCATTATCCGTCCCTCCTACAGCCCATGGGCGGCCCCTTTACACATGGCACCCAAGAAATCTGGAGACTGCGATGATTAAAAGGCCCTAAATAATGTCACATTCCCTGATCGGTACCCCATCCCTCATTTCCACGATTTTTCATTGGGTTTGATTGGTGCTAAAGTCTTTTAAAGTCTTGATCTTGTCCGGCCTTATCACCAGGTTTCTGTGGCTCCCCGAAGACGTCCCGAAAACTGCCGTTATTGCTCCATTTTGCCTATTTGAGTTCCTACGAATGCCTTTCGGTCTACGCAACGCAGCACAGACCTTCCAGAGATTCATGGATCAAGTTCTCCGTAATCTCGACTTCGTCTTTGTCGATATTGATGATATCCTCATCGCCAGCAAAGACAATGATGAACACTTGCCGCACCTACGGCAGGGTTTGACACGTCTCGAAGCTTTCGGCATTACTTTTAACCCTCAGAAATGTGTTTTTGCAGTGGATACTGTTGCATTTCTCGGACACCAGACTGACGCAGATGGTATTAGACCCTTTGGCTAAGAACTAAACAGCGGTTCATGAGAATCCAATACCAGAATCCCCCCGTAGATTACGTCGTTTTATTGGTTTGTTCAAGTACTATGTACAGTTCATCCCACATGCCGCTGGAATTTTGTTTCCTCTGAGTGACTTGCTTCAAGGTAATCCCAAGAAGTTAAGTCATACTCCGGAAGCTAAAGTTGTTTTCTGGGATATAAAGATGCGGTAGGAGAGTTCACGAAATAAAGAAAGTGTAGTGAATCGTGTTGATTCACGTTAAACACCCAGTCGTCGCAGCCTCACACATGTCCCCTCTGTTCACAACCTGCCC